TTTATTTATTTATTTATTTATTTATTTATTTATTTATTTATTTATTTATTTTAAGAGAGATTTTGGCTATGGGGCACGTGCACTCACTAGAGAGACAGAAAAAGCGAAAACAGAAAGTGAAGACTCACCCCCGAGGGGATGGCCAGGCCACAGTCTCTTCTCCTTTATTCTCCTCTTGGGACTTTGGGCATGCACACTCATGTGCCCGGCGTGAGTTTTAAGCTGCTGGGTCTGGGACTTGAACTGTGGTCAACTATGTGCAAGTCCAGCTACGTAACCATCACACCACCTGCCATCCCCTAGAAGCATCTTAGCATAAAAAAAATCACCAACTGCACCATCCTAAATGAAGGACCTCGTCGTACTTTCCTTATTAAGCACAAATGAGTGCCCATTGTGTGTGTGTGTGTGTGTGTGTGTACCTTGCTAGCGTCCAGTTTCAGCAGGTACACAGCCACGCCCTTATTTATTTTTACATTAAAAAAGAATTATTTGTGTAATTTTAAAAATTCATAATTATTATTATTATAATTTGCTAACAGGGCTTGCATGCTCTGAGAGAGAGAAAAAAAAAAAGAGAGAGGGACAGTGAGAAAGCAAGTCTCCAGGTTCAGTACTTGAACTGGAACTGTGGCTGGCCATGTGGTAGTCTAGCACATTAGCCACCATGCCACCTGCTGGTGCCACAGCCTTATTTCTAATGATGCATGCATAATATGCATGAAGGAGTTCGGGCCTGAATTATAGAAGACATGGCAGAGCATGGGTTTCAGTGTTGTGTGCTATTTCGTAAGAATGTTTCTAGAAATCTACCCCCAATTCACCTAAAGCAGGGGGTCAAGAAGCCGTGGCACCCTTTCAAAATCCGGGTCCCCACTTATTTTAATATGATACAGAAACTATGGCATTTATGTCTTTTAAAAATTATCACCAGCAGTTGGCGTAATGTCTATGTCGCTGGACTCTCATGTAGTAGACTGCGGTTTGAGTCCTGGTCCCAGTGGCTTAAACTCATGCTGGGCGTGTGTGCATTGTGTGCCCAAGATCCCGAAAGGAGAATGGAGGAGAAGGGATTGTGACCTGGCCATCCCCCCTGGGGGGTGATTTCTCGCTTTCTGTCTCTGTCTTTCTGGTGAGTGCACGCGCCCTATAGCAAAAACCTCCCCCCCGCAAAAAAAAAAAAGGAAAGAAAAAGGTTATCCGCAGAGGGCACATGTGTGTACACACAGGCACATGTGCACAAGAGAGAAAGAAACAGAGGCAGAGAGAGGAAATGCCTTCCCAGTGGGCAGTGGGCAGCTTACACCTTCTCTTCCCTCCTCCCTCCACTCCATCAGGATGTGGGGCGTGCACGCATGCCTGGTGTGCTTTTCATGCTTCTGGGGCTTGGATTTGAACTGTCGTTGGCCACATGGAATGGCTCCCAATGCATCAGAGCTGGCCTGCTGCTTACAGCTAAAAAACAAAAAACAAAACCCACAGGATTTCATGATCTATGCAAATGATATGAAATGTATATTTCAATGCTCACAAATAAAGTTTGGTTGGAACACAGCCACACTCAGTTACTCACGTAATCTGTGGCTATTTCTGCACTGTGACAGCAGAGGTAGACGGTGTGGGCAGAGACTGTGGGATTGAAGGACTGGAAATACTGTTTACTACCTGGTGCTTTAGGGCCAACGTTTGCTGACCTCTGACTTAATTGCCAATACACCGCAACACTTTGGTCATTTAACATTTGGTAGTGGGAGTCGATGGTTGGCTTATGTTTTTTTTGTTTTGTTTTGTTTTGTTTTGTTTTGTTTATGTGTGT